TCATGCAGGTCGATCAGATTATTCTGATCTGGCAACTTTTAGAACCGAAGTTGCTTGGTCGTTAATGATGAGTCCAGACAGGAAACCAGTTGGTGGACCATCTCACGTCTTCAAAAAAGAAGCTAAACAATCATCTGGTATTCGTCGCACGTATGACATTCCAAAAGGTTACTTGGTTCGATCACATTGGACATCGCCCAGATCAATTAGACCGTAGTTGGAAAAGAATATGCAAGTTACCTGGCCATAAATCTGAGATATAGGTTTATTGATTTAGGTGCAAAGTAAATTTGTGTCTAACTTCAAATAGAAAATGCTGGCATACATACCATATTTATTGATTTTTTTATACCTGAGTAATTTTTTTTATATCTCTCCTTTTCTTATTGTTACCCATTTTATTATTTCCTTTTATCGTGTTTTACCTTATATTACCTATGTTACCCATTTTAGTGTAAAAATAAACAACAAAATACTAAAGCATGTCTGTTATTTTATGGTACGTTCAACAGACTACCCGACTTTTGTCATTTATGAAACTTCAGTTTCAATGGAATACCCGCCTTTTGTCGGCGTGTCTATTTTTGCACTTGAAAATTTTAAGCAAAAAACAAGCTCTATAAGGAGACGAAGCCTATTGACTTTAAAAAACATCTGATTAAAAATAAGGGGTTAAGATGGGTTGAAATTAAAAAAAAATCCTAAATTAAAAACGAAAAGCGATATCAACATGAAATGTATAGAACAAATGAAGCTCTATAAGAAGAGATTAAGTCTATTGATTCTTAAAAAAAATTTAAATCAATTGGGGAGTTAAGGGGGTTTAGATATTAAAAAAAAAATCCTAACTCAAAAACTAAAAATATTAACTTGACATTTTTAGCAAACATCAAGCTCTATAAGGAGAAAGGCTTTTGAAAAAAAAAAAAAAATCTGGTTCAAAATGGAGACTTAAAGGGGGGTTGAAATTAAAAAAATAAAAAACAATCAATATGAAATGTTTAGTACAAATCAGGCTCTATAAAGAGATGAGGCCTACTGAAGTTGAAAAAAAAAATGATTTAAAGTGGTAAGGGGTAAGTTTGCATCTGTGTAATATTATGTATTATGATGGTAATGATCTTATAAAATACACATTTTCGTTCACTTGTTTTTTTGCCCAATAAAAGGTATTTAAAAAATATATTATTTTATTTGACATGTGTGACAAATAATTAAATTTACAATAAAAACTGAAAAATGGTAAGCAAGGTTACATATAATAATATTTTTTACACAAAAATCAATGTCAAGCTTTTTACCTAACCTAATATATATTTAAAAATAATCTCAAAATATAAAGAAAAGTTAGTTGACTAACTCATAATGTTTATATAAGGTTTTTAACGTATTAGAAACAAAACAAATATTACAGTAACTAAAATGTTTACTTATTTATTCATTAATAGTTGTAGTGCTTGAAAACAGTTTGATATTAATAATAATAACTACATTTTTACAAAGTTTTGAACCAAACTTACAAATATTGGAAAAACTGAACAAGCCGCCACTGGCCCTAGTAAAAGAGCTTTGTTCGTACATGAAAAAATAAAGAGCTAGAACTTGCTAATTTATGTTAATTATATTTATATCTCATAAACATACGATCTATTACGATCCAGTAAAAATCAATCAAGTGACAAAATTATTCCAGTCAAAGTATCTACCTATCTTACTTTTATCGTAACCAAACACCCGCTCATCCTTTTTCCTCAAACACTATCTCAAATTCGACGACGACATTTTTTTTTAATAACCTCGACAGTTTGGGTAGACGGTTTACCGATAAAACGCACATCGGGCGCGAAAAACTCGAGAGCGCGAATTCGAAAAAGTTATGGTGCCAAAATGAAAAGTAAAAATAAGGACGTGGTCGTGGAAGAGAAGAGAGAGAGAGAGATGTGAAATATGGACTAGGCGTCGCGGCGCGTCGATCCGAGCAGGTACGATTTCTGAGCGAAACTGAATGAATGGCGTTTGGGTGGAACGAGGATCCGATGGCAGGAAGGATAACGCAGCCGGTTGAAGGACACTCAAAAGGGGATATTGTTATTCAATTATAGAACACACCTATCCATAATATATCGATACCTTAACTTTATTAGATCGAATACAAATTGTCACAATTTCCTAAAGTAATTATAATCTTGATTTTTGGAAAATTTGAAATAAAATCTAGGTGAACAAAATTATTTTACTGTCAATTTTAAATTTTTAATAATATTGACAAAATTAATTTTCTTGAAAATGACATTGATCTTTTTAAAGATCTCAATATTTTCTGTATAAATAAAAAGGCGATTACCTAAATTTAATTGGAATAAATTTTTTTAAATTAATGAGCTCTTACTGCAGAACAAATTTAAAATATGGAGGTACTAGTATTTGGATGAAAAACTTTGATTACATGAAATGTATAGATCTGTCCACATTCTGTATATACTTCGAAATATGTGCTGTATCTTAAAAAGTTATTAAAATTGTTCATACTATTTTAAATCAGTGTTATCGATTTCCTTCTGGAGACATTAATATTTTTTTTTAAATTAAATTTCTTAGGTGTTAATGCATCCCCCATACTTAGTTTGTTTTAACGGGAGATTTTAATTTTGACAAGTATTCAAATGATTTGTGTATGCTTTTGTCCTAATTTGACCTTGTGCCAATAGTTACTTGGCCAACAAGAGTCAATGAAAATTCCTGCATATTAATTGATCAAATTTTCTTGAGCAGTTGTGTTGTGTTGTGTCACTGATAACGAAATTTCAAATCATCGTTCAATTTTTTGTGATTTCTATCTCTTAAAAGTTTTAGAAAAAGATTCAAAAATGAATGTACACACAAAAAAAAATAGCTTCACTTAAATCAATTTGATTTAACTTAAGACCCGTTGTGATTTGTATATAACGAAGCAAATATTTTCTTCTCAAAAAAAAAAATGATATGCTTGTATATATTTTTTTGGAACAAGGTTGCAACTGGCTTTATTAAAGAATATCCATTCGATTAAAAACAAACTTCTTAGGTACAAAAGTTTTCTGCGAAGAAAATTTTTTATTGGAATAAGTTCAATGAAGAATTTTAATTGTTTACTTCAAGATAATATTCTCTTCATCCAGAACTGAATTACTAATAGCAAAAATATGATTTCTTCATTGTAGGAATTATGATTCTCTTACGAAGAGTTTTGTAAACTCGATTCTTCCTTCAAGTATTTATTTAATATTGGATTTTCTATCCAAGCCAAATTTTTACTTGAATTTAAATATTACTTGTCTTCTAATGTCCGATGTCTTAAATTAAGATTTTAGTGGAATTATAGGGTGGTCCCTATGAAGGTATGTTTAAATATTTGAAGGTATCATTCCTTGGTAGATTTCAAGACAAAAGTTTATGTTAACTTGTTGTCTTTTAATTACCTAGAACAGAATATTTCTAATGTAATTTATATAAAATGTCTACACCTTTATCTCGAAAATAGGCCTATTTGGACAAAAGTTGATTTGAACTTTTACTCGCCGGAATAATACTTTCAAATAATACGTGAACGTATACTTAGGGACCACTATATAGAGCACTTAACTGTAATTAATTTGATCAATTCCTGATGATGTTAACGAGGCTAGGAAACGCTCTTCGAATGAAAATAATTTTATTATTTATGAAGTTGAAACAGTTGTCTCTTTTTGTGGATCCAAATGAGGTTTGACAAATGTGACAATGTTAGGCAAACAAGAAGTTAATAAAAAATTTTATTAAAAAATTAACACACAAAACATAGATACCTCTTTTACCTAATGGTCTAAGAGTACTTAAGCAGTTTTTTTCATGTTCTGCACATATTGTGTATTTACCAACCTATAAACAGGAATTTCGGAAAAACTTTAAATTTATAGCCAAAACATACGTGCAAATCAAAAAAATCTGCATTTGGATAAATAATTTTTTTTTCGTGCAACATAACTAAAAAATATAATTTAACAACGAAACAAAAAACAAGACAGAAAACAATCACAATTCAAGTATAAACTAACTACTTTATTCCTGAAGGGCTACATATTCACTATTGCCAACTTTATGGATTATAGTAGGCGTTACAGAAAAAGAGTCATCTAATTTTATTGTGAACTTTGTCCGGGATTCATTGGAGGTAATTTTAAAGGCCTTGAAATTTTCGCTGTACCCAATAATGCTTAAAGCTGAACATTCAATATACAACAATTTTGCATCATATTGGTTCATAAATATTTTCTCAATTTTACAAAAAAGTGGTATATCATTTTTGTATTCAAGAACTAATACCATCTCATGTTCGTACTTAACACCATTTATTTCATATCAACTGACAGAAAAAAAATCCCCTGGTTCTAAATTTGTGTTTTTATCAATTTCATCTAAGCTGATTTGATCACTATACGAAATATTATCACTAAGTCCTTTTTTTGAAAGATACCGATAACAACTTTTCAGTTGACACCTAGCTAAAATTGAGTAGGGTAAATTTTTTCTGCTTCTAATTGATTGTGCAACAATTTTTAAATCTCTATGCTTTGCTTCGCCTTTGAAAGAACTGATAAAAATAGGAGGGCCAATTTTTTCTATTATTTGAATATAATGCACCAAAATGTGGTATTTAGGTTTTAAATTTGAATTAAAAAGAGACAAAAACATTTGATGATGTTCCTCAATTAGCGTTTTTAGATGTTGTAAAAGTGACTGTATTATTGACTGACCAGTTAGAATTTGCGTAATTTCTAGCAAAATTAAGTAATATACCCATAATTCTTCATTATCTGGAATTAAATCCCCTATAATTAATCTAAAGTTTCGAACTAGACACAACATTTCAGATGCCGAAAAAACTATACATCCATTTAATAAGTGTTGTTTTGTTACCGAGGGAGGAATATTTTTTTCGAATTTCTGATAAGTGAAATATTTAATCCTAGCATTAAGGTTATCTAATGTAAAATACTCACATCGCAGGTAGAATTTTTATACAAATGAAAATTAGGTAGCGAGTTCCAGATGCATTGCTCTTTAACACCTAGTTTGCGATTTAAATGATCAGCGTAGTCGGACACTTTTCGTAAATAATCCTGTAATTCATGAGTTACTGTCACCGTTTCTTCTTTAGGAATAGTACAAAATCGACAAAAATGTGTTGCTGAGAAACTTTCAAATAGCCCGAGTATTCCATGAACTCCTAAATTATCACCAGATATTGCGGCCAACGCAAACTTGACATTAACTAATGTACCATTTACTCTGATATTAATTCCTTCAGTTTCTAGTAGAGATAGCTCATTAACAATTACTTGAAACACGGAGTTACCAAATTTTATTTTGTCGATGGAATGTACCAAGAAAGTTACAAATATATTTTCTAATTTGCTTAAGTGGTCAGGAGGTAACGTTGCAATGAAAAAATATATATCACTAATTTTGTAATTTCCTGCATGGCTTCCAAGAGGATTTCCTCTTTCAAAATCATCGTAGTACAACACTAACGGCAAAATCTCACTATGAAATTTTGAAGACCAATTACTTCCATGAATTATATTTCGAAGAACATTATTTTCCGAATACTCTTTTTTTAATTGCTGATGATGATTTATTACGCTTTGATAAACATCTGTTCTAAGAAACGTTTAAGAGATTCTTTTAGTGGAACATAGTATGCATATCTATGCTTTAATACTAAAGAAACCTCATTGTTTTTTCGCACCTGATCTTCTGAAACACCGAGAAAAATTTCTTGAGGCATAAATAATTTATCAGATTTTTGAAAATGTTTAAAGCGTTTGTATTCCGTATCTAGTGAAGAAAATGGATTTTCCATCAATTTTAGCATAGACTTTATATATTCGAAGGAAGTAGATTTCGTGTGACACGGAAAAAAATCTAAAAGGGACTCTAAAATTTTATCAATTAATCCAGAAGACATAAAAGCTGAAACGGATTCTATTAGAGTTTGAATGACTGATCTTGGCACACCTAAATTACAATAGAATTGAGATATTAATTTTTCGATAGAGATTGTAAATAGCGATTGAAAATCTGCAAAGAGTTTTTGTAAATTACCTTCAGTAACGGCAACAGATTCACATAAAATGTTATCTTCAATATGAGTATCACTGGTCGAATAACTTTCATTGATGATGTTCTCATCGTCAGTATTTTTGGCCAGATTATCATGGCAAAAATTAGCTTGGTGAATAGTATTCATATGTTGTTTTAAAGAATTTTTTCGATGGTAAATCCTGCTACAGCTCGGTATAGGACAAACAAAATAATTTGTATTTGAATTGTGATAGCATTCTAAATGAAGAATATATTGATTAAAATTAGAAAAAAATTTTGAACACTTTATGCATTTCATCTCTACCTCTCAAAGATAAACAATATATGTTATTCGAGTTCGTTTAATAAATCAACTAAATAAGGGTGAATACTGTTAAACGGTGTTCTGACTTTGTATACGCATCTTTGAATAAGTAAATATATATGTTCCCCTGGAAGAGGATACCTTGCTTTAAATACTTGATACAATTTAAATAAAGTATCAAATGCTTTTCCAGGATATTCAAATTGATACCTCAACGTGTCCACTACTACAAAAATTCTTCTAAAATTGGAAAGCTCATTCCCATCAATCAGTACATATGGTTGGACTGGTTGTTGTCTGTTATGACATTTTTCTTTTTGTTTTGCTATAGTTTCCTCTATATCACCAGGGTTCTAAAAATAAAAAAAAAACAAATTATATTTTCAATAAGGTGAGGGGGAGAAATAAAGTCCTTTGAATCTCACAAGAAAGTTATAATTTTATTTAAAAAATTATGGTGCGACCGGTTTCGAAGTTAACTACTTCTTTTATAAAGTAACCACCTAGCAGTACATGGGTAACTATTTATGTTTAATTTACGAGTCTAATAATATGTCTAGTGAAATCTGCAAAAATAAAAAAAAAGAGTACATATAAGTATTTTAACGCTGCATATTATACATACATTTTATTTTTATATTATGCAAGGTACTTAACAAATATCCAACTAATCATAAATAAACAATTCAGTGCACTTACCTGAAAACTTATTTATTACCTCATCCGGAATATTCCACGACTGAAGAAGTTCTATGACTTCCTCCGCCATCTTTTTCCCACCAAGCACTATCAAAAATTTTAAATTTTCCAATCGCGTTAAGACCTAAAAGCAACAACCTATTCGCCAGGAAACACGTCGTTGTACTGTACTGCGTTTTCTAGGACGGTATGCATCTCACCCTTTTTAGGCGGCCAGTCAATTACAAGTCTGGACTAGTTTCAGTTCAAGAATATTTAGTTTTGTTGTCTTGAATGAAGTAATTTTGCATTTTCTGTCTTCATTGAAGTAAAATAAAAATAAAGTGATTTATTTTAAGAATAAGAACTTATTAGAATATGAAGCCGTTAGTTACATGTAATTATTCTTTATTTAAAAATTGTCGTGTTTTGAATTAACAGTAATTTGCTCTGTTTAAAAATATATTATAAGAATAATTATGTCTACACCAAAATCAGTGTCAAATTTTCAAGTAAGAATATTATCTTTAATTAAGAAATTATGTATTTATTTAAAGAAAATATATTTAAGAAAATACATATTTTTTCTGTAAGAATTTCATTTTTTCTGTGTAGCGAAAAGAAATTTTAGAGAACATAATATAGTCCGAATTTAACAAGCTCTTTCCAATGAAGACTGGACAATTTTAAATAATATTAGTACTCTTGATAATGCATTTTCGTACTTTTATAACATTTTTAAAAATTGTTTTAAGTTTTGCTTTCCTGAAAAACAAAGTAACTTACAAAAAAACAAAAAAATTGGATAGATGTCGAAATTGCTGCCTCAAGTCGATCACTAAAAGATATTTTTATATTAAAAAAATGTAATCCTCGTTTTACCGAAATATTCTTTTTTTTACAATCAAAGAAAAAAGAACACTATCAAAAACCTATTTTAAGAACGAACTACATATACCTTATGAACGACTCAAGGTAACATCTAATGCGTCAAATTATTTGGGGCCCAAATTGTCCAATAGACTCTCTCTTGTAACATTGGAAAGTAATTTATTTTTTATTTTTAAAATAAAATAAAATAAAATAAAATAAAAGGTTTTTTACTAGAATATTATTTTTATGATCTCGCTGAATTTTACGAATTTAATGTAGGTATAAGTACTACCCATATTTTATTCTATTTTCTACTTTTATCACATTTTTATTTTATTTACTTGTATTTTGACGAATCCTATACAATTGTATTGTCTTATAGAAAATAAATCATATTTAATTAAACAAATTGGAAATGATTGCAAACTCCTGTTGATTTTTTAACACTTGCATAAAGTTGAAATTTTATTGCTTAATTTAAAGGAAGTTAGATTTTTAATCACAGAAATTACCTACAGACATTTAGAGTTATCAAGAGGATATAAAAAGACTACAGGCTAAAAACATGGTCAGTCACTGTAGGTTGGGTGGGTAGCCGAAAAATGAAATCTCTGAAAGGAGACTGCGCGCTAGTTGGTGACTAGTAAAATTAGTTTTCCGCATTAAACATTTATATTATTTACTGAAATAAAATGAACTAAAACTAAATTGGGAAAATAGAGATAATACACCAAATTAAGGTTAAAAAAATAATTATCCCAAAAAGAATTTTCAAGTGTGATTTTGGTAAATATTTAGTTAGAAGAAAATTGCCTAGGGTCAGAGATTTGCAATTTCTACTATTAAAGGTTTATGTTGTAGAACCAAAAGTTGAGTTTTTCAAGAGACTCCGAGGGGGAGTCTGAAAATACACTTTTTGTCCATGTTTCATACATTATTTTTCATTCGAATGTATTTATCGATATTAAAAAAAATATCGGAAATTCTATTATATCGAATAGTTTTTCTTTTAGTTACTCATGAATTCTTAAAAAATATAAGAAATAGCAGCCGTACGGTCGGTATTTTTCCTTTCCTCCCTGGTGTCCTTATCGTCAATCCTCAAAGCGGTGAGCAAAACACTGAAGCGCTTCTGCGACATTGTGCATCTATCTGAACATCTCGCGTCCTGCCTCATCTGTTGCAAAAATTGATGACAAGTCTTCATTATTAGATTTGAAAATTGCTGAGAAAAACAAGAGGCCCAAAAAAGCTCTCAGCTCCGTGATATCAACGTCACCAGCCAAATATTAATTATAGAGAATTTATCTCTCATATTTTGCAGCTTTTTATTTGTCTGCTGTACAATCTCAAGCAACATCTCATCGGTAATGAGGCAATTCCATGCATCAACCTCTGAACAAGCAATAATCTTGCTGGTCCGATGGCACACGGATCGTGAGATATGATATTGTGAATTCTTGTTTGAACATTAGTAACTGAAGGTTTATCATTTCTATCTATTTCTACTGTAATATGATTTCGATCTTACCGTGCTGGATGTTATTGGCATTTATGTCTCTTCGTCAGTTACATTTTCCCCTTCTTCCTGTTCGTTCTGATCCTCACCCTCTTGTTCGTACGCGATTTCTATTTCTTAGTTACTGCCATGCTCAGAGACAAAGTCCGGCTCCACATCGTCGTCATTCCCGCTGAAATCACTCTTCAGTTCATCCAAAGTTTTAAGGGCCCATTCTTCAAACCGGGGGTAATCCACCCGCATGCTTTTTTGATTTGAACTAGCCATTACAACGTTTGAAACAAGATGCTGGGTAAGAAAAAATATAGTACTATTCGTATGGTAGGGTCTCATCGTTCCCAAACAACAGAGCACTCCTAATAGTTTTGGCACACTGACAGATAAAGAGGGCAACAATCCATTCCCCCACTCAAAACACATCGGCTAAAAGGTACTGAAACGGACGGCGCCACCTGGCAAAAATTCTTTGAATTACGTACAAAAAGAAAACTGCTGGGGTTCATAGGACCCCGCCATACTAGTTACGGGTTAATGAAATTATGTGTATTGTAAATTTTGTCTGACGTCTCGTTTAAATGTGTTTTAAACTAAATTCTTGTAGACAACACCTCCTAATGGTCGACTGAAGAAAAAAAAAAGGATGCATGACTGAAATAAAAATTATAAAGAGTAATATCACAAAAGGTGAAAATTTAATGAGAATATTTTGTTGTTTTTGTTTTGAAAATTATGCTTGTAAATATCAAAAAACCAAATCTTCTAAAAAATACTGTAATAACCCTTCCTCTATTTTTAATCCATCTACATACTAATTTTTACCATTATTCTAATTTTTCATAGATAATAATCCATGTCCTAAATGCTTGTTTGCTTGTCTAGCCAAAATACATGAGTAAATTAAAAAACAAGAGAACAAACGCTTTCTTCGCGGTAATTTAGTCCATAGTTATATACAGTTAACTGTTTCTAAATTACGTTAAGAATATATCAATATTCCTACAAAACATGCATATTTAGTTATAAAGCCAATTAACTTGCGACCGTGAACTTACAAGATAAAATTTGTAAAAAATCACTTGTACGGTTTTAGACAACTTGCTACGTTTCGTATTAAATACTGATTTTATTTTTTTACTTAACAACATAATATAGAACATCTGTGTCATTAATTTAACCAAAATTAGTACAAACACAATTCTCTGGCTCCCGTGAATAAGAAAATAAGTCATCAAAGGACCCCGCACACCGCTTATGGAAAAGTGGCGACCCGTTAAATGTCATGAATTTTTGATATATTGCAGTTCTCGACCCCCTAAGTAACAGTGTCCATCGGACCATTTAAATCGTATGACTGGTTTTTGAGATAGAGGGTGTTAAACTTAAGAAATACGACTTATTTGATAACGGTTATTTCAGCAGAAAGTTAATCGATTACAATTTTTTGTACAAAATCTTATTGTAACAGCCTTTGGAATTCTTAGAATATAAAAAGGGGTCAAAAACTATTTTCCTTTACAGGGTGGGCCACAAATAAGTAAAGACATGTTTTTGATAAATACTTTTATTATTCTAGAAGGTGAAAATATTTACTAAAAAATAAATTATTGCTATATTTATCATGTTTGATGATAATATAAAAGATATTAGGTGCCATTTATATAGCGTGATTCGTAAATATCGACACAGGCCAATATTTTTTTTTATAAGTATTAATGTGTAACACAGTATTTTTAGGGAAATTTTGTGTATTTACGATATATACAATTATGCAATTCATTGACTACAGGGTGATTTAATAAATATATTGATAGGTAAATTATCAAATGTGTCAAAACAAAAATTTTTTTAAGCACCCTATATTTTTTGATTAGTCTTGTAAAATTGTACACAATTTTACACTGACGTATCACCACTGGGGAAGAAAATATTTTTTAAAATTATAGCTTTATTCTATAATTGTTTTTTGAAATACAGTGTGTTAAACTTAAAAAGTACCACTTATTTGATAACGCTTATTTCAGGAGAAAGCTAATCGATTATAATTTTTTCTGCCAAATTTTATTGTAACATCCTTTGGCATTCTACAAATACTAAAAGAGGTCAAAAATTATTTTCTTTTACAGGGTGAGCCACAAATAAGTAAGAACGTGTTTTTGATAATCACTTTTATTGTTATAGGTGAAAATATATACAAAAAAATTAATTTTTGCCATATTTATCCTGTCTAATGATAATACAAAAATATTAGGTGCCATTTATACAAAGTGATTCGTAAATATTTATGTGGACCAATATATTTTTTATAAGTATTAATGTGAAACGCAGTTTACGGGACTTTTGTGTAATTACCAATTAACCATATGTATAATTATCCAATTTATTGACTACTACACAATATAAAACTGCGCTCAAAACTTGTAACAAAGATAGCTATATTAATTAAGTCACCCTGTATAAAATATAATCTAATTCCATTACCTCTGATGAAAGGAAATATGGTCCCTCGTCAGCATTTGCATCCTGTGTATATCGTATGAATGTAACGTGTTTTTTCATTTAAGCAATAAATCTAGTAATAATTCATTTTTTATATATTTTCACCACATAAACAATAAAAGACAATATCCAAAACATGTCATTCAATAGAACAACTATTAATATATTTAATAAATTACTCTCTAGTTAATGAAAGTGATAGT